AAAAAAAAAAACCCTGCCCCTTGAGCACGGCAGCCTCCAATCAATCTAGTATTGCAGACTTCTAAAATTCAGGGCTTGGATGAGGCAATTAAGCCTGCTACTAAACAGGGTATGGTCCCAGATGGCATCACAAACTCCCATCACCAACTTCAAGTTCTCCCGGAGCATCACCCTCTGCACACAGTAGCATTACATCTCTGCTTGCTCCCCAGCTAGCTCCAGCGTCAGTGCAAAGCAAGCACCCCTCCTTGCCAGCACCATTATTGGATTCTAATCCACCTACCAGTGTCATAACCTGGTCAGCAATGTCACATTTACACATCACCTCATGAGAAGCATAGAACAATGCATTGACACATATATGTCAGTTGGAATAGCCAATTCAGACTTGGCTTGGCCTGCCACTATCTGAATATTGAGCCCTCACATAGGGGTTTTACTCAACCTGCTGCTGGGGAGATCTTGTTCTAGTGGTATGAGCAAGGAAAACCTCCCAACCTCCCAATACTCATCTTCCCATATCTGATGCTGTGCTTTCTCGCCTCCTTCAATTTCTGCCAGCAGTCTATGAATCTAATGACAAGGTTATTATTTTCAAGGCTGCTTTCACATTGTCATTCTTTGCAGCTACACAAGTTAGTGACTGCCTCCCTAGATCCACGCAGCACACTTCTGGTCACTGGTCACTTCTATCACTGTCTAACCTTCATTTCAACTGACAGGGCTTGTGTATATGCTTTAAATGCTCCAAAATAGATCAATAAGGCAAGGGGCAGATTATCAGATTGAGTAAAGGCTTACCAGGACAAATTTTCCCTGTTTAGTCCATGTTACACTACTCATCTTTATGTCCATGTGTCCCAGTCATATTGGGTTTACAGATTTTGGGCCCTCTTCCTCACTCAGTACCAATTTCAATGTGTCCTAAAACAAGCTGTCTCTTCTCGGTCTTCTGTCCCCATTTTTCTACCCATTTATTCTACATAGGAACAACTACATCTTCACCCTATTATGGTCTGTCCTGTTCTACTCTTCAGAGGGTGGAACAGTAGTGATCTAGGTCATCCGGTTCTATGTTAGGACTAAAGCAGGAAAACAGCTGATTGTATACCTTGGAAGCAGGGCCTCAGTCCCCTCCACCATTTAAATATTTGTTTTGGTTTTTTTTGAACAGGTCCTCCAATAATAGTATGGATAGTTGAACATGGCTTTGCTGTCTGGGCCAAATGAAACCTATTCATATTCAGGTAGGGGCCAGGATCTTGGTATGTCACATCTGGCCTGTATGCATTAGTGGGGCTGTTGAGACATGCAGTGGGGGTCTCTACTACTCCAGCTTATCAAGCTTACTGCAACTCAACTCCTTCATGACATTATTCTCCATCATATAAGTAAAAATGATCTAGTTGAGCTCCAGCTTGTTGGTGTGGTGACAGCTGACAGTTATAGCATCCAGTGCCTACTCCCAGGCATTCACATCTTGTGACAAAGACATCACCAAGACAGGTGTGTGAGGATAATCATACTAACCCTTTGCTCAGTGTAGCATGGTATCATGCTAAATGGGATATCATTCATAACTTTAACTGAATAGGTGGCTCTCCTATACATCAGTAAATAAACATATTCAAAGGTGGAGAGAGGGGATGACAAACTGGGCTTGCTCCCTCCTGTGGTGGATAGGAAAGGGAAGAAAGGACATCAGCACAAGATAAATTAGGGGAAGGGAAGCCTGAGGTTGACTACATGGATTAAAAAAAGGGAAAATCCTGCAGTCTGGATAGTCACATCCCCTGGACTGTTTGGACACCTCCCACTGATTAGCTGATACAGCAAGCTCTGACAAACCTTTGTGAATTTCACCCCTGCAGGAACATTTCTGGTCTGAAAACCATCAGGCCCCATGTCCCCTCAACCTTACTTTGGCTACACATTGTCTACCTCAGGAACATATTAGTTATGAATGTGGCTGATTTGTAATTGTTATATTTGTATTAAAAGTTGTGGCCATACCTTTTCACCCGTAACACAGTGTTTGAACTCTCTGGCCTAGTCTACACTAGCCAGAATACTCAGACTGCTCCTGAAATATTCTGGCACAATATCTGACTCAGATTGCCCCCCGCCATTACCTGAGCACTCTGCAGTGATGTTGTGCAGTTGTCTATATAAGAATCTTGTTCTGCTGCCCAGCATTGCCACCTATTCATATTCAGGTAGGGGCCAAGATCTTGGTATGATTTGTTCCCTCTGAAGTAAAAAACAAGCCACCCCAGAATCAATCACATGGTTGAGCACCTTATTGTGACTCCAGAGGGAATGGGTTGTACCAGCAATGGCTGTGCCAGATTGCATAGCAAGATGTGTATGGAAAAAGTCACCCA